ATTATTAAGTGCTGCTGGTTTTACCTACATCGTTCCACACAATCCTGGCACCCGACGCCTTAGAGAGAAATAACTAGTGTTCATAACTAGGCAGGCCCCGTTCTAGCAATTTCACACACATTTATCGATTTCCTTACAAGCACCCTAAGAGGTGGGTCCTCTTACCCCACGTTATGGATGAAACTGTGCCACAGGGAGAAGATGCCACTTGCTGAGGGGCACAGAGGCTGGCACTGAGATGTGAACCCAACAGGCTGGCTCCAGAGCCCTTGTTCTGACCCACTTTCAGGAGGTGGCTGAGGCTCAGGATTGGAACCTGGGTCCAGCTGATGCAAACTCGGTGGGTGCCCTTTCCATCATGCCAGACTGTCTCGTGAACTGCGAGACCAGTGAGGGTTGCTGCAATAGCACAGGTCAGGGCCTCCTCTAGGGCAGGGGAGATGGGCAGAGGCAAGTCAGAGTCATTAGAATCCGGCAACTGAGCAGCAGCAAACTAGAGGCGAAGGGCCAGGCCTGGTGGCCTCCCAGCAGGCTGTGCCCGGGACTGGGGGTCAGATCTGAGAGGAGCAGACACTCTCCCTGGGGCTTGTGAAGTGTTGGGAGGCCTGGGCTCTAACTAGCAGGGTGACTGTATTAACGCCTTTCACCTCCGGGGCCTCAGTCTTTTAAGACAGCGGGTTAGCCGCTATGATCTGAGGCTCCTCTCGCCCTCCTTCTCAGATTCTCCGGGTTCTGCACAGGTGGCTGCTCCCCCTCCCCCTCCATTTCCCTCCCCTGCTGCGCTGGTGCCTCTCCGCTAATCAGGCGCTTGTTGCCAGGTGGCCTGAGGCCCCCGGAGAATCCCTCCACTCCGCCTCCCACCAAAGAGCCAGGGTGATGCAACTGCCTGCAACCGTCACCTCACTCCACAGATCTGGTCCTTCCGAACTGAAAAAGAATCCCCCACAGCCCCTCCCATGCCGCCAGCCCCAGCTCCAGTAGAAAGGGCTGGGGCACCGGGACCCTGGGGGACTCCTCCAAGTTGGGGGAGGCGGAGGCTTCTGAATCCTGGAGGGGCCACAGGCCCCGTCACCGATGGGCACAAAAGCAGGCTCAGGGTGCCAAGACCGGGGTTCACAGGCAGCCACTAAGGACCCACTGCACATGAGTTAGAATGTGCCTGGAAGGGCTAGGCCGCTAAGGGTGAGAACTGGCACCCACTCAGCACGACTGAGTCAAGACCTTGGGTGGGGCAGTCGGCATCAGGGTTGACCTGGTTGGGATCCAAACGCTGCAGAGAAAAGGCACCAGGTCCCTGCCCCGATGTTTTCTCAGTCAGCATACCCTGCACACAGCCAGCAATGATTCCCACACAGAGCAAGTTCGTGTCCAGTTATTAAAAAACACCCTAGCCCTAGCTGGTGTGGCTCAGTGGATAAAGCACCGGCCGGTGGACTGAAGGGTCCTGGGTTCGATTCCGGTCAAGGGCACATGCCGGGTTGTGGGCTCGATCCCCAGTTGGGGGCATGCTAGAGGCAGCCAATCAATGATTCTCTCATCACTGATGTTTCTATCTCTCTCTCCTCCCTTCCTCTCTGAAATCAATAAAAAATATTTTTTAAAAATCCTATCTGACCATCCTCTCAAAAACCCATAATCCCAGTCTATGAGACGAAACCAAGCGGAGGGACTTTCCACAGAATACCCACTGGTCCTGGTCATGAAAGGCAGGAAAAGTCAGAGAAACTGCCGCAGACCAGAGGAGGGTAAGGAGACGCGAGGACTAAATGTCACGGCATCTTGGAAGGGATCCTGGGACAAAAAAAGTCTTAGGGAACAACCAGTGAAATCACATCAAGTTGAAGTTTAGCTAATAGAAGTGTAACAATGGCAACAATGGGGGCCATTAGGTGAGGGGTATATGAAAACTCTGTACTAGCTTTCACATTTTAATTTAATTTTTTTATTTTTGCTAATCCTCATTTGAGGATATTTTGCCATTGATTTTTAGAGAGTGGAAGGGAGCAGGAGAGACACACAGAGAGAAACATGGATGTGAGAGAGACACATCGAGCGCCTCCTGCATGAGCCCCGACCAGGGCTGGGGATCAAACCTGGGTCCCTTCAGTCCACGGGCTGCCGCTCTATCCACTGAGCAAAACTGCCTAGGGTTGTTTGTGACTATCATTTTTGTGACTTTTCTATAAACCTAAAATTACTTCCAAAGTAAAAAAAAAAAAAAAGAAAAGAAAAACAAACACACACAACAAAACCTCTACCTAGTCGCAGCGCATAACCTAGAAGTTCTCAGAAGCGCGAGGGTGTGTGTGTGTGTGTGTGTGTGAGAGAGAGAGAGAGAGAGAGAGAGATTGACTGTGTCTCCTCACTGCCAGCAGTTTGTCCAGCACTACCCCAATCTCCCCGTTACTGCTCAAATCTCTACTGACAAGTGGAAGGAGGTCGGTCCTTAAGTTTCATTTAAAAGGAAAAAGAGCACAGTTAATCTAGAAATAATTAGAATAGTGCCATTATTCAAATGCTCCCTCCTTCTTCTCTTCTTCCTTTTTTTTTGTAATCCTCACCAGGGATTTATTTTTTCCCCATTTACTTTGAGGGAGAGGGAGAAGAGAGAGAGAGAGAAACATCGAAGAGAGACAGACATTGATTGGTTGCCTCCTGCATGCAGCCCAATGGGGATCTAGGGATGGAACCTGCATCACAGGTACACGCCATTGCCTGGGAATTGAACCCAAGACCCTTCAGTGTCCAGGCTGACACTATCCACTGAACAACACCGGCCAGGGCATCAGTCATAGTTTTAAAGCGCTAACTGCTTAGTAATAAAGATAAACATACCCACCCCAAGAATAATAATAGTAACAGCCTCTGTGTGTCAGGCACTAGTCTAAGCACCTGATCTATATTAACTCATTTAATCCTCATAACAGACCTGAGTAGTAGATACTATTAATGCCCCCCCCCCCCCCCCACCACGAGGAAGCTGAGGCACAGGAAAGTAAGGGAACTCACCAGTGTCACAGCTAGTGGGGTGCAATTAGGGTTTGAACCCAAACAACCTGGTTCCAGATCTATGATCTTAACTGCTACTCAGTGATGTCTAGAGACTCCAGGTGATAATGTAGCCTCTACCAACTCAAGGAAACATCGAGCAAGTGCTCAAATACTGGCAGAGCGGACAGTAAGTGCTCTGCGGGAAAGTGGTCAGAGCCCAAGGACTCCCTGCATGTTTAGAGAAGGGGGGGACGGGGGGAGAAGCCTGCGTATCTTTACTCCCCACATAACCCTCAGGATTAGGGCTCCCCCACTTCTTTGATTCTGATTCAGCCCCGTAACTGCCATTAAGAGTGATGAAGGCTGAACTCCAGGTGTGATGTCCTGATATGGACAGATGCAGGGCGGGAAAGGGAAGTTTCTGCCGCAGAGGAAAGACCCGCATCCACTCAGGATGGTGGAGGGCCCAGCGTGCAGGGAAGGAAGGGCGAGGATGCTCCCTGTTACACACGGTGGTACAGATCTCCCTGTTTGGGGCAGGGTTGTGAGACTAACACAGTGGGGGGGCATCTCAGGAAGTCAGGGTGAGGAGCAGGGGCAGAAGAACCAAATACCTGGCCTGAGGGCAGTGCTGTAGACAGGGCTACGGGAAGGTGGGCAGTGGACGGTGAAAAGGGTGGAATGGGGGCGAGGATGCCCGATTCCCTGCACCCGTGGGTCAAGACGGGGCTGAACACCCAACATCTGGAACGGGTGAGGGTGGGATGGCTGAAAATTGCCAGCTTAGAGAGAATCACACACAAGAAGGGCCCATTAGCAGGCGCTGGTCAGTCAAGGTCTGAGGATCTTGCCCTGCCTGGCCTGTTTGCTCAGTGGGTAGAATGTTGGTCCAGCACCAAAGGGTCCCAGGTTTGATTCCCGGCCCAGGTTGGGACTCAGGTGCGAGGCAATCAGTCCATGTGTCTATCTCACATTGATGTTTCTTTAAAAAAAAAAAATTATTGATTTTTTACAGAGAGGAAGGGAGAGAGATAGAGCCAGAAACATCGATCAGCTGCCTCCTGCACAACCGCTACTGGGGATGTACCCGCAACCAAGGTACATGCCCCCGAGCAAAATCGAACCCGGGACCCTTCAGTCCGAAGGCCGATGCTCTATCCACTCTATCCACTGAGCTAAACCGGCTAGGGCTCACATTGATATTTCTTTCTCTCTTCCTCCTCCCTTCCAGGCTCTCTAAAAATCAATGGGAAGAAATATCCTCGGGTCAGGATTAACAACACGTGTCTGCCCGGGACGCTCGCCGCGGTGGGGGTGGGGTGAGAGTGGGGGCCCCGGAGTCCCCACTGATAATAAAATACGTAGAACGGACATGTATGAGCTGGGCTCTGTGCGTGGGGTTTCCCGAGCATCAACTTATTTCTCACAAACCACCTCATCAGGCACAGCTGCCTATTCTCCTTTTGCAGACAGTTCCCTACCTATTTGAGGCCCGAGGATTTCGGTTATTTTCCCACGGCCACCGTGGCAGGTCTGTGGCTCACGCGGGACTAAGACACCAGCATGGGGCTGGCCGGAAGTCCGTGAAGCAAAGGAAGAAACCAGGCCGCTGGATCAAAGGGAGAAGACCGGACCCCAGAGCCTCAGGGAAGGGAGGGCCAGAACCCTCGGGGTCGGAAGAAAAAGGGAGCTGGATCCTAGGCCGGAGACAGGAGCGGACCGAACTCTTGGGGTCCGAAGGAGGAAGGGGCCGGAGCCCCGAGAGGAGGAGGGGGCCAGGCCAGCCGGCCTGTTGGGGCCTCGCCGGGGCGGGGCGCGGAAGGATCCGGCGTGCCGTGCTGCGCCGCCCCCGGTATATCTGTGCTTGGTCCCCGGGGCCGCCTCATTCCCCATCCTCAGGTCACGTCAGATCACGATCTCTCCCCACGCTGCCGCGACCCCGCCTCTGCCTCCGCCCGCGTAGCCCGCCATGGCTCTGTAGCCGCGACCCCTCCATGCCCCCGGCCCGTCTCCGCGCTCACCGCGCCTGCGCTCTCCACTCCCGCCGTCTCTCTTCAGCCGAGGCCGCTGCTGCCTCTCCTTTCCGCCGCCATGGAGTGAGTAACCGCTCGTCCCTCCGGCTCCAACTGCCTTTCCCGCCCTTTCGAAGCTCGCGGCCTTCACGACCAGGCCTGAGTGGGGGGGTGGGGAGTTGAGAGTGAGGGATCACGGTCGCGCAGGCGCAGAAGAGGGAACTCGCGCGTCGGCGCGCTGCCGAGCATGCGCACTCGGCCCAATGGTGGGGAAGGGAGCTTTCTTACAGAGAATGTTGGCGTTAAAGACGGCCCGCGTGCGCTTGCGCCGGCGTACTAGCCCCCAGAGAGGGTTTTACTTATTTGTTCTGCGGGAACGAATCTGTCCGCGCGCCGTTGCTCATGCGCATTAGCGCACCAGAGCCCGTATTTCCGTGCGAAGGGCTGGCAGTAAGCAGCTGCACATGCGCACTAGCCCCCAGGAGGGCAGAAGCGTGAGCGCCTTTGGACCGTTTCAGGGGCGGAGCTTGCGCTTTGGCCATCGGCGAGAAAGCCAAGTGTGGACGGGTGGGCGGGGGATGTGGAGGCTGGTCGCCATCCCCTCCACCCACCCTGCTCCACATTGCTTAGTCGCACAGCACAGCCGCCCTGTTTTTTATTCAGGCGTCTGCTGGGGCGGGTGCTGGTTTAACTTGGGTGGAAAGCGGGGCTTTGAGACACCCCGTTAAGAATGGGGTGGAGCGATCTCTTCCTCCTCCTCCCCCTCTCCTCCCCTTCTCCTCAGAAAAAAAGAAAAAAAAAAAAGGGGTGGATCTAGGGCCACGGCCGTCGCGAAGGGTGGGGCTTACTGGAGCCATTGTGAGGGGCGGGGCTAAGCGCACCTTGAGAAGAGGGCGGGGTTCCGATTGGAGAAAGAGGCGGGGCCTCTGGGGAATCATCGGGGAGGGGCGGGACTAAGATAAGCAGTGGGCGGGGCTTAGCGGGACAATGGAGGTCGCTGCAAAGTTCTCAAAGGGGGAAGGATGGGATGTGAATGGATAATATTGATGAGGTTGGTGGGGCACAGGGGGAATTCCCCTGGGAATTGATTTGGGATGGAACCTAGGGAGGGGGTGGGGCCCCAAAGGAAATGATTGAGAAGGAGGAACGTGACTAGAAGAAAATTCCCCTGGGACTGAGTTCTTTTAAGATGGAATATTATGGTGTGGGTGGGAGGGGCTAAAGCAGTGGTTCTCAACCTTCCTAATGCCGCAACCCTTTAATACAGTTCCTCATGTTGTGGTGACCCCCAATTTCATTGTTACAGATTGAACATAATTAAAATATGGTGATTAATCACAAAAACAATAGGTAATGTGTTTTCTGATGGTCTTAGGCGACCCCTGTGAAGGGGTGGCGACCCACAGGTTGAGAACCGCTGCACCATGCCCCAAACCGTCACATCAGCCAATCATAAACCAGACTCCATGGTTTCTGCCAAATTCCTCACAGGAAGGTGGCCCAGAACCCAAGAAGCTAAGCCATGCCCCTGCCCAGACAACAGCTAATGAGGGCCAAGCCCCACTTTAACTGCGCCCTAGAGTGCTAATCTTCTGAAGGAAATTCCCCTGGGAAACAATTAGGTTGCTGTATTGGAAGGATTGGGTTTTGGGATTTTGAAGTCAGGCATAAAGAGAACTCCCACCGGGCTGGTGTAGCCCAGTGGTTGAGCCTCGACTTATGAACCACGTCAGGGCACATGCCCGGGTTGCGGGTTCCATCCCCAGTGGGGGGCGTGCAAGAGGCAGCCGATCAATGATCCTCTCCCATCATTGATGTTTCTGTCTCTCTCACTCTCTCTAATTCCTCACAGGAAGGTGGCCCAGAACCCAAGAAGCTAAGCCATGCCCCTGCCCAGACAACAGCTAATGAGGGCCAAGCCCCACTTTAACTGCGCCCTAGAGTGCTAATCTTCTGAAGGAAATTCCCCTGGGAAACAATTAGGTTGCTGTATTGGAAGGATTGGGTTTTGGGATTTTGAAGTCAGGCATAAAGAGAACTCCCACCGGGCTGGTGTAGCCCAGTGGTTGAGCCTCGACATATGAGCCACGTCAGGGCACATGCCCGGGTTGCGGGTTCCATCCCCAGTGGGGGGCGTGCAAGAGGCAGCCGATCAATGATCCTCTCCCATCATTGATGATGCTGTCTCTCTCACTCTCTCCCGACCTCTCTGGAATCAATAAAAATATTTTTTTTAAAAAAAGAATTCCCTTGGGAGTGGGTAGGGCTCAGAGATTTGGGGAAGGGGCAGATTTAGGATTCTGAGAGGGCGATGTGTAGCCCCAATCCCAGTTGGAAGCGGGAGGGAGGACCCTGGGGCCATGGGGATGTGGCTTGGTTTCTGTACAAGTGAGGCTGGCCTGTGACCCCACCTACTTTTGTCTCACACTTGTAGGTCCTCCACTTTCACCTTGGTGCCTGTCTTCGCCCAGCTGAGCAACCTCCAGAGCCGCCTCCCACCTGTTGGTGCAGCCTCCTTCATTGCCACCCGTGCCCAGCGCCTGTGCTGCAGCCATGTCACTCCTGGCGACCCTGGGGCTGGAGCTGGACAGGGCCCTGCTCCCAGCTAGCGGGCTGGGCTGGCTCGTTGACTATGGGAAACTCCCCCTGGCCCCTGCCCCCCTGGGCCCCTATGAGGTCCTTGGGGGAGCCCTGGAGGGCGGGCTTCCAGGGGGGGGAGAGCCCCTGACAGGTAAGGGCAGGTGGGGAATGGAGGTGGGGAGAACTGGGACTTGGGGGGCAGGATAGAAGGAGGAAGAATTCATTTATTTGTGAATTGGATAAGTCATTATTGAGTGCCTGTACTATGTCAGGCACTGTTTTAAGTGCTGGGATATAACTGGAAATAAGACTGAAATGATCCCTGCCTTCTTAGAGCTCACACTCTAGTGGGGAGACAGACCAGAGGAATAAAATGAGGAAGTTGTGGGATCAGTGGGAAACGCTTAGTAATGAGCGAAAAAAATCACACCGGGGACCTAGTTTAGAGCGGGTAGCCAGGAATCCCTTGCCAAGTAGGTACCGATTTGGCTGAGACCTAAAGGATGGGAAGGAATGAGCCATGATAAGACCCAAGGGAAGAGCTTTTCAGGTGGAGAGAACAGCATATGCGGAGGCCCTGAGGCAGGAATTACTTTATTCATTCGTGGGCCCCAACTGCGTGGAACACAGTGGGTCTTCAGTAATGAATGGATTAAAGATGAAACCGGGTATGCGGGATCTAGTTTGCTTTTTAAGGTAAACTACAGAGTACATCGGAGAAAGCACAGATGTAGGTTAATCAGTAAAGAGAATGTTGGAATGGTTGCAGAATGGCTGGTTGACTCTCTTGTTGTTCGGATCATCGGTTGGTTGACCGGTTCATTAACTGGTTGGTTGAAAGAGTTGATTGATTGATGGATTCACTTAGTTGATTGGTTGGTCAGTTAGTTCATTGACTAGTCGGTAGACAGATTGGCTCGTTGGAGGATTTACTCAATGGAGGAGATGAATGAAGCGGGGATGAGTGAGCACCCAGTTGGGTGGGAAACCAGGAACTCACGGAACTTGTCCTTCTCCACTCCCCCAGGTGATGGCTTCTCGGACTGGATGACTGAGCGGGTTGACTTTACAGCCCTCCTCCCTTTGGAGCCCCCCTTACCCGCAGGTGCCCTCCCTCCACCTTCCCCATCCCCCCCTGACCTGGAAGCCATGGCCTCCCTCCTCAAGAAGGAGCTGGAGCAGATGGAAGACTATTTCCTCGAT